TTCTTAATTTTATCAATAAGATCGTATGAATTTTTAATGGAAAAACCGGATGGTTGTTGAAAAGTACTGAATTTTGCGCAAAGCCATTTTGCTATTTAGTAGTTTGGTAATGCGACGTCACTCGAAATAGGTCTCATTTTCAAGTTACCTGGTTTATTGATTTTCGGTAGTGCGTAGAGACGTGGAAATTGATAGTTTGATTGTCCCAAAGACATGCCAAAACGTTCATCCATGATGTAGAACATCACCAAATCGCGCGATTTTTTGTTCCATGCATTCAACTTTGCTTGTGGTTTCTTGACTTTGATGAAAATGTCGTTCTGCAACATTGCTGTAACTCGTTGTATGTAGTCAGCTTTGTCCATAATTACGATTTTATTACCCTTATCGGCTCTGGTGATGATGATGTTATTTCCGCCAATTTTCTTTTTTAATGATTTCGTAGCTTTTGAGTATTTAATGTTGTGGTACTTTTTGTTTGATTGTCCAAAATTAAATGTTTTGATGTTGGTTTCAACTTCGTTGCGGATGGCATTCGCCATTTCTTCATCGTCACACATCGAGATTGTTGTTTCAACGTCAGCAATAATGGAATCAATTGGTAACTCACGTGGTGGTAATGCGAAGTTCAAGCCCATATTTAGTAGTTCCATTTCGTCGCCTGATAATTGGGTCAATGATTTATTGACAACGAAATCGTCAATCAATTGCAACCGTTCCTTCCGTTGTACATTATTGGCTTCGATCAATTTTCTCAATTTACGGTTGAGTGTTTCTCTTTTTTCCTCTTTATGTCAATTATGTCATCTATGCTGTTGACATAGTCACATAAAATATCGAAGGTGTCATTACGAATATTAGTTGTGAGTAAACGGTTTAAAGTATACAATTCCTTGTCGATTTCACTTAAAACATAGTGAGCATGGTTGATTTCTTGACGTAACCAATCATGTTGTGCATGTCGTATTATCACTTGTGTACGGGTGTTTTTTACACTTGTTTTGATTTTGATGAAATCCGGAATTACTTTATTTTTCTTACATTCGATAAGAAAACCGATTTTTTGTTTCACATTCATTCTTTTTTCTCGTAGTTTTCGAAACCCACGAAGCGATGTTGACAAAACTTCTGTGTTTAGGTTTTCGTATGTGGTGTAATGTGGAACCACATTTGAATAATTATGCACAAATCCGGTGTTATAGCCTGAATTGTTCTCAATGGACGATAATCCACTTGACAAATTATTGTTGTTGTTGAACATACTGTATCAGTTAATCAAATGAAAAAATAAATGAAGAAAACTTCTTATTCTGATACAAATTTAACGTGATTTTATTTATAAAATGCTAACGTTTTCGGAAACAATGTTTCCATCATCATGCGAGCTATTTTGATTTTTCCATTAAAAATTCATACGATCTTATTGATAAAATTAAGAATTACGAACTTTTACCTAATCAAATCATGATATCACTTGACGTAGAATCTATGTACACTAATATT